AGTCTCAGGACGACCAATCGCGTTAGGCACGGCGGGCCCCGCCCACCCGAGCCCCCGCCCCGCCCCCCGCCGGGGACTCCCGCGGCCTCTCCGGCTTCGGCTTCGAAGGAGGAGGCGGGAGGCAGAGTTCTCTGACATCCACCAGGCCTTCTCCCTGTGGTCAGTCTGATTCTTCTAGGATAGAAGGTAGTTTGTTTTGTTTTGTTTTTCCTTTTCAATGTCTGTTTGAAATAAAAAAAAATAAGCACACACGCAGAAGAGCAGGAGGGACCGAGGGGCTGCCTGCGAAGCAGCCGAGTCCTTGGTTCTGCAGAGGGCTGGAGCCTTTTCCCATCCGTGCTGCTGTTTTCCAGACAAGCAGAGGTTGTTGACAATTGGCGCCGGTGGCTTCAGGCGGCGGGTGGGTGTGGGGCAGGGCAGAGGCGAGCCGGGCCTCGCGGTTCCAGGGCAGCCCGGCTGGGGGTGGATGCGGAGAGAGGCTGGGTGGACACGGGAGGGTGATGTTGGGGCTGAGGTGGCCTCATGGCACGGGAGGAGGTGAGTGGTACCTGGGCATCTGGAAGACACAAGGAGGTGTGGTGGGTTCATAGTTGGCTGCCAGGGGGACAGAGCTGGCAAGAGTCAACTAGGGGACAAGTGGCATGACATGTCACCAGTCCTAGAAAGGGGCACATCCTCTCACCCACACATTTGGTGCTTATTATTTGTCCCTAAGGAATCAATGAGATGTTTACTACAGGATCACCTGTAAGAGCAAAATTAAAACGGAGGGAGCAACTCAGTGTCCACTCTCCGGGGACGGCCTAGATAAATGAGGGCAGGGCCATAGGGTAAACTAGTTTGCAACCATTAAGAACAGTGTGGCCAATAAGCACATGAAAAGATGCTCAACAGAATTCATCACCAGGGAAACGCAAATCAAACCACAAGACACTATTTCACATCCATTAGGATAAAACCAGAAAATAACAAGTGTTGGTGAGAATGTAGAGAAACTGGAACCCTCGACCGTTGCTAGTGGGAATGTAAAATAGTGCAGCTGCTATGGTAAACGGTTTGGCAGTTCCTCAAAAATTTAAACACGGTTACCATATGACTCAGCAATCCAACCCCCAGGTATATCCCCCCAAAATTGAAAACAGGTACTCAAATCCATATACACTGATGTTCATGGTATCATTATTCATAATTGCCCAAAGGTGGACACAACTCAGATGTTCATCAATGGATGAATGGATAAACAAAAAGTGATCGAGCCACACAGTGGAATACTATACAGCCCCTAAAAGGAACGAAGTATTGCTACACACCATAACACGAGTGAAACTTGATAACCTGATGCTAAGTGAAAGGAGTCAAACACAAAAGGCCACATACTATATGATTCTACTTACATAAAACATCTAGATCAGAGACAGAAAGTAAATGATGGTTGCCAGAGGCTTGGTAAGAATGAAATGGGTGAGGGGAAGAAACTCCTAAACAGTTATGGAGTTTTATCTTGGAGTGAGGCCAAAGTTCTAGAACTAGACAGAGGTGGTGGTTGCACAACATTGAATGCACTAAATGCCAGTGAACTGTTCACTTCAAAATGGTTAATTTTATGTTATGTGAATTTCACCTCAGTAAATTTTTTTAAAGCAGCAGCACTGGGAACAGTCATCTCTGTTACTGTCTGCGCCATCCCCAGATCCTTCCCATAAACTGCTCCATTCCTGTGTTTCAATCCAATGTCCTGCTCCCCACTGGACAGGGTAGGTGTCTGATCGAAAGGGGGCCATTTTCCTGCTTTGTGTGCAATGACTTAATAATACTGTCTGGACTAACCAGAAGCTATGTGGAGGGCCCTGGGAGAGAAGGAGGGCCCCGTAGGACCAGAGCAGGGGTGGCCATTGTGGTGCAGGTGCCAAGGGAGAGAGAGGCCAGAGCACCCAAGGGAGAGGCTTGGGTCCTCTCAGCCTGCCAGGTCCCCCTGCCAGCCCAAGGAGGTTCGGTTGAGCCTCCAGTCACATTCCTTGCCTTCCACGGCAATCTGTGAACTTTTGTGATCTGCAGTATTGTCTCTGCCGGTGAAAACTGCAAACATGATGAGACTCATCAAATGCATTTAAATCCATAAATTGATAATGACATATATTTTTTAAAACTTCACCTCTAAAGGATGTTAGAAATCCAGCTCATTTTGAAAACTGATCAAGAGGGCAGGGTATAGCTCAAGTGGTAGAGCATACGCTTAGCATACATGAGGTCCTGGGTTCAATCCCCAGTACCTCCATTGAAAAACCAAATAAATAAACCTAATTACCTCCCTCCTGCCAAAAAAAAAATCAACAACAACTGATCAAGAATCAAGGGTCCACCCCTTTACAACTAAGCCTCAGAGTAACCAACGAGTTGATGAGGAGCAGTTTCTCTCGGTGGACGTAACCCAGCCAACCATGACGGGAAGACTATTGCAGAATATCACCATTTTGCACCACCTAATGGATGAATGGATCAAGGCACCAAATCATCAATGGCTGCTGACATCACTGATGTCACATGCACCTGGTGGATCCCCACAACCCCACTCAGGAGATGTTCTTGCCCAAAGTGGACCAAACCCAATGCCAAGCCAGCCTACAGCTCTAACTACCATTTCCAGCAAGAACAGGGGACAGAAGAACCTGTTAATGTCACCCTGGGGCACATTCAGCGAACTCCAAACTGCAGGGAACTCTACAGAATGTGCTTTTGAACAAATAGCAAGAAGGAAAGGAAAGAGGGAAAACTTACAGATTCAAATAAACTTATAAGACCTATCAACCAGTTGCCATCTGTGGACATTATACAGATTCTGATTCCAATAAACAAAGTGAAAAAAACAGACAATGGGGAAACTGGAATATCAAGTGCAAATAGGAGCATATTAAGGAATTTTTTTTTGGTATTATGGAATTTTTAAAGAATCATTTCTTATAGAGATACATTTTGAAATATTTATGTATGAAATGATATGATGCCTTGAATTTGCCTCAAAATAACCCACTGTGTGTGGAGGGGAAGGTCGGGTGTAGGAGGGTAAAAATGGTACAAGACTGCCGTGAATCAGTGAGTGTGAAGCTAGGTGATGGGTACATAGAGTTACACATTCTGTCTACTCTTGCATGAGAATATTTCCCTAATTAAAATTGTTTTAATCCACCCCTAAATTCCCGACAATCTAAGTGTCCCACACCACAAGACTGGTTAAATCATGGTCCAGCCATAAATGGAATACTATGCAGCTATTAAAAATGATGGTCTCTAACAAAAATTTAGTGATGCAAAAAATATGCATGATCTCAGTTCCTGACGAACCCAGTGAATTATCTAACAGTAATTTATCTAAGAATTATGATACATCAGGAATCTGAGAAGGCAGATAATTCACAAAAATGACAGAACACAAACTGGATATAATTACTACCAGGCAGGCTCTAATAAGAAGGCCCAAGAAAAGGGGAGGGCAATTTTTGGTACAAGCTTTAGAAAAGTGGCTCTTGTCATCCTGAAAATCTTGTCGTGGAAATAAAACTACACCTTCTTGGCCATCACGTTTCTGGTGAGGGTAAGATATATGTCCACATGAATTGTATTAAGGAAAACTGACGTGGACACAACAGGATATGAACTTTAAGCCAAATTGGATAAAACACATTAAAAATCTCTTTTCTTAGTGTTGAGTCTCCAAAAGAGAAAAAAATAAATGTTTCCTATAAGCTGTTCATTAAAAAAAAAGTCAACAACATATGGTTATGAACTCATTGTTGCTGAGGAAATATATACACATGTATCTTCACAGAAAGCTGTGAGACAGAAACAAAGAGGGTAATTCAAACATAAGCCACACATTTTTAAGAAATTAATTATACTGCACAACTTTTTCTTGGAGGGGATACATCAAGAACCTATGTTTGTACCAATTTTCTATGGCCTAGAGGAAACAGAGCAGTGGTCATGTGACAGTTGCCAATGAGGCCACTGGTGGTAATTCACAAAAGGGGACTCTGAAAAATTAGACAACAGATCAGAATGTACCAGGGGGCCCAGAGCTGCACACTGAGCATTTCCAAGATTATAGAAATAACTGTCACATTTCCTTTACAAATTGGTTTGATTATATGTTCCTATGTGACCTAGTTACTGAGTATTAAGTTTTTGTAAGTGTTCAATTCTTTTTGAATCACTCTAGACACAAAATGTTCACAGTGGTTATATCTGGGTTGTCTATGAAGACTTTTTCCAAATGAACTTTTTTATTGAGGTGTTCTTTTCAAATATATTATCTAATATCTCCTCGATGAAAAAGGACTTCTCATGCAAAATAATAATATTAGAAGCTTCAAAGCAGGCCTCCTAAATAAAACGTCAGCAAATCAAATCTGATAGTACATAAAAACACATCATATGTGGCTTAGCATTCAAAAATCAATCAGTGTAAGTCATCATATTAACAACAAAAAAGGGAGAAAAGTTATATGAGCATCTTGATAAATGCAAAAAAAATTTGATAAAATTCAACATCATTCTTGATTTTTTTTTAAAAAGTGCTATAGCAAATAGCAAACTAGAAAAGAAGAAAAATTCCTAAATCTTATAAAAATTTATCTACAAAAAGACCTATAACAAACATCCTAATAGTAAATTATTGAAAGCCTTCCCTCAAGACCAAGATAGAAACATCCGAACCAACAGTAAATTATTAAAAGCTTTCCCCCAAGACCAAGAGTGAGACAAGAATGCTTACCTTCATTATGCCTATGTGACTGCAGGGCTCTGCAAGGAAGCAAGAAAAAAAAAAAAAAGAACAAAAGGCAGAAGGATAGGAAAGGAAGAAATAAAATGCAGACAATTGAAAAGAATCTAAGGCAGACTCTAAAGATTTAATAAATGAAGTTAGCAGGACCATGAATATATGATCAATGAACAAAAACCAATCGAATTTCTATAAACCAGAAACAAATAGAAAATACCATTTTAAATTACTATTTTAAATGCCATCAAAAACATCAAATATCTAGGAATAAGCCTACTAAAAGATGTGAAAGATCTTTTAGCTAAAAACAGTAAAAATATGATAGAGAAAAAAATTTTTAAAGACCTAAATAAACAGAGATATACCATCTTCATGGATTGGAAGACTCAACATTATAAAGATGCCAATCCCCGCCCCCAAACTGAACTGTAGATTCAACTCAATCCCAATCAAAATCCCAGCTTGTGTGTGTGTGTAGACATTTATAAGTTGATTCTAAAACTGACATAGAAGTGCAAATAGGAGGAGGAGGATACAGCTCAGTAGTAGAGCACATGTCTAGCACGCACAAGGTCCTGTGTTCAATCCCGCGTACCTCCATTAAAAAAAATCAATCAACCAATCAATCAATCAACCTAATTACCACCCCACCCCCCAAAAAAAAGAAATGTGAATAGTCTAATGTAGCCAAGGCACTCTTGGGAAATAAACGTGATGAGATCTTGCTTCCCAAGATCAGGTTGTAAAAAGACTGCTTTCATCTTGGGTTCTGTCTCTCCCTCCCTCCCAGAAAGAAAGCTCAACCTGGGGGAAGCCAGTCGCCATGTTGTTAGGTAGCCCTATGCAGAGGGTCACATGGCGAGGCTGCAAAACCCAATGAATGAGCTTAGAACTGGGTTACCTCCAGCCAAGTCTTCAGATGAGACTGCAGCCCTGGCCCGCTAATAATTATCGCAGTTTACCTGAGACTGAGGGATTTCCCGGGACATGGGAATTTCAGCACTAAATTCAGGACAGTCCTGGGTAAACTGGGGTGGTTGGTCACTGTCCTGATAGCTTGGCTGCATCCTCATGAGACCTTGAGCCAAAGACGCCCAGCAAAGCTGTACCCAAATTCCCGATGGCTGTCCTCTTCAGCTGCTGTTTTGCAGCACTGCAGTACGCAGCAATAGGTAACTAAGACAGCGCCGCACGTGTGACAAGGTGCCCAACTTCAGTGCTCATCAGAGGAATGCAAATTAAAGCTACAACAAGCTATCACACCCACCAAAACTGAAAGCTGAAATTTGGAAGACAGGGTAGATCCCATGTTGGTAAAGATGTGAAGCAATGGGAGCTCTCACCCACTACGAGTGGGAGTGTGAGATGGTACAACCACGTTGGAGAACTGTCGGGTAGTATCTATGAAGCTAAATATACCCACGTTCTACGTCCCAGCAATTCTGGTCCTAGGCTTACGCCAACACAGTGCATCAGCCGTCCACCAGAAAACCCATACAAGGGTGTTTATAGCTGGACAGGACCATGGGAGTCAGTTCTCTGCCAGCAAACAGAGGCCTCTGTGCGTACGCTATCATCCGGCACTTACAGCAAATCTGACTGAACAGAAAAAGAAACCACGTTTGAGCTGTTGGTCAAGAAAGCCAAGAGCTGAGGTCTCCAGCCATCCGGTGGAGGGATGAGAGACCCCTGTCCTCCCAGGTCCCTGGCCCTGGCTGAGAACTGTGATTTTCGGTGTTTTCAACCCAGGGAAGCTTCTATTCAAGCATATTCTCAGGCTGAACCTGGGCATATAATAATGACAGAAATAGAGCCCTGCCTCCTAGGCCTCCCCAACCAGCTATGCTCCTCAAGTGCCCCCAGGAAGCCCAGGTACTTATCTGTCAACCTTTGAAGTCCTGTGACTGGGTTTGCCCCCTCTCCCTGCCCCATGCCCCAGGCTCCCCTCCACTCACCCTAGCTCCGGGCCTTGGACTATACCAGCCCGTCGTAGAGGGACAGTGCCTGCACGATGGACGGGTCCGCCTTGGAGCCTTCCTGGAACTCCTGCAGCGTCAGCTTCCCGTCGGCGTTCTGTGAGCAGACAGAGGAGGTTATAGGTGAAGGGACAACCAGCCTCCTAGGCCAGGGGCCTCCGGCCTGGACCCTGGACAGTTCCTCCCCAAGCCCAGCCTGGGGCTGGTCCCAAGAGAGCTTCCAAAGTTAGGTCAGGAGGGAGGCAATGCAGCTCACGGTGAGAGGAGTCAGCTATAGACAGACCCGGGCACTTCCTGGCTGGGCAACCTCAGGCATGCAGACCATCTCCCTGGGCCCTTGTTTCCTCATCTGGGGACTGGAGAGAATTGCACGGCTTCTTCACGGCACTGGGGTGAACACTCCATGAGCTCAAGCCGCCTAAAGTGCTTGGCAAACTGGATGTGCCCCTAACTCCACAATTACCATCACCGCTGCGGTTTGTCCCAATAAAGGGTGGTTAATCCCACAGGGCTGAGAGCCTGAAGCACTTCTCCAGGGACAGCCTTGGAAGGGCACCAAAGCCATTCCTGGAGCAGCGTACACTGGACCCCGGGAGACCCGCCAGGAGGCTGAGTGGAGCCCGTGTAAAGGGATTTTAGGGGATCTCTTGGGGGAGGAAATGGTTGGGCCAGAATCCCTTCTCCTGGAATATTTCACAAGGAAACCCGTGAGAGCAAAGAAAAAGGCCTTAGAGACCACCCGCCCCACGTCCTGCACCCACAGAGGCAGACGTGATGTGGGTTCCAGCAAGCACAGCAGGCCGACCTCCAGGGTCATCCATGTACACCCCGTGCGACCCTTCATCTCCTGGGGTCCTCACAACACTCTGAGAAGAGTGCCCTTGGGGACGCTGAGGTGCTGTCATTGACTAAGGGTCCCCTGGCTGCTAACTGGGGAAGCAGCTTTATACCCAGTCTGACTCCAGCGTGGGCTTTGCTTCCCAAAATAAGGGAAGTCTGAATGCAGGGTTTCACACCTTGGTGTTAATCACATTGAACCTCCCTGCGAGAAAGTTAGTGCTCCTGGCTGCACACCCTGAGGACACTGGGAGGCCAGTGCAGTCTGAGCCTGCGTGTCTTTACTGCCTCTCTGACACGTGCTGATCTCGCTTTAAAAAAAAAATTTATTTAAAAATTTTGGGTTTTAAAAAAAAACTTTATCTTAAATATTGGGGTTTTTTAAAAACTATTTCAGATTTTTAGAGTTTTTTTAAACTTTATTAAAAAAATGTTTTTAAACATTTTAAAGTTTGGGGGTTTTTGTTTTGGGGGGCAGTAATTAGGTTTATTTATGTATTTTTTTAAAATTATTATTATTATTTTTTTTTGTAGTGGAGGTACTGGGGATTGAGCCCAGGACCTTGTGGATGCTAAGCACACACTCTACCACTTAGCTGTACCCTCCTCTATAAAATTTTGGTTTAAAAAAAAACTTATTTTAAGATTTTGGGTTTTTTTAAACTTTATTTTTAAATTTTGGTTTTTTTTTTTTTTCTGATCTCACTTTTTTTAATTAAGGAAGTAAGGTCTCGGGCTCAAAGCTTTCAGGGCCAGCACCTGCACCCCGGCAGGACGTAATAATAAGCCCAAGGTCACTGTCGTTGTACTCTTCTCTTTAAGGCAAGACTAGGTCTCCTTATCATCCTGGTGTCGAATTCCCATTTAAAACAAAGTTATTTCAAGTTAGAAGCAAAGTTTGATATAAAGAAGGTTTTATTAACGTGGGGTCTGCGGATAGAATTCAGCAGGTGTATGAACTAAAACGGGGCACGTGGGGGTCTTTCTTCTCACTAACTTCTAACTGAAACTGAGCTCTTCCTTCCATGCGGAATCTAGGTGACGGTCCCCCCAGAACCAGCGGTACCTGTGACTGTGCCACCGGCGGGGAGCACGGCATTTTCATAGCACGTCACGGCTGCTGCAGGCACCACACGTGCCTCACACGTGCGTGTCACGGCTTCAGCATCATGGGGCGTCAGACCCACCACTGTCCCTTACGATCCAGCGTGCTCATACGGAAGCCCATATAACACCACATCACAAATCCTTTTTAAAAAATATTTCGATAGCTGTATTCCAAACTAGCTTCCTTCTTGAGCCTATGGATTTAATCTGATGCGCTTAAAACCATTATTCTGAGAAGTCCGTAAGTACTTTTTCAGAAAGCCAAAGGGGTCTATGGCAAAAAAAAAATTAAAAGCTTACGAATCTTAAGTTGGTTAAAGAAAAAGTGTTGGACAAATTTACTTCAAATCCTGGATGTTTGAAGGGGCTGGCTGCCGAAAGGACCAGAGGCCATCACGCCAGGCGTGCCGCCAGCCTTGAGCCAGGCCCATGGGTGGTCAGTGGTGCCTATGGCGGGGGGTCTCACCTTGTCCATCATGGCGAAGATCCGGTCCACCCTCTTCTCAGGGGTGTTCTCCTCTTCGGGGAGCTCCACAGTGTTCCCCTGCCAGGGACGAAGAGGTAGGGGTGGCTCCTGGCACTCCGGGCTTCGGTTTCTTTGCCCCAACGTATTCCCCACGGACCTGGGCTGGTTCCAGAGGAGGACCACCTCTCCCGTCCACGCCCCACCCTGCCCCCACCACCTGCAATGCTGCTCGGGAGCATCCCACTCACCTCAGCCCCCACCTGCCCCCCAAGGTGCAGATGTGCAGCCAGCCCCAGGCAGGGACCCTCACCTGGCCAACTTACTCCAGGAGGTGCTCCCTGCAGGCCAGGTCCAGTCACTAAATGTGACGCCCCTGGGGCCGCCCCCACCCCATGGGTCCCGGCCTCTCACCACCATCTGGTAAATGGCATCCACGATGTCCAGCATCTCGTTCCTGGTGATGTAGCCGTCGTTGTCCAAGTCGTAGAGCTTGAAGGCCCCTGCGACCAGCCAGCCAGTGTGGAGTCAGCCCTGGACCAGGGCAGGGGAGACAGCCACCCCCCACTCCCCTCTGCACCCCAACATGCAGCCCGGCCAATGGCCCTGTGACTCATCCAATCAACGAATAGTTACATCAAGACACACACACACACACACACACACACACGACACGAACACACCATTTCAGCTAGGGTTATGAAAAAAAACCTGACTATAAAAATGAGGGGGCACTGGTCTGCAAGAGCTGAGGCCTCAGAGGCTGGAGCTGACGGCGGACAGGGAGCTCAGGAGGAGCCCAAAGCCCCCCACACCCTGCTCCTTCCCCACGCCCCAGCCTCTGCCTCCTCTCAGCCCACTCTCTTTCCACAATGATGTTAGAGCCTGCTATGGTCAACTTAGAAAATAAAATAATATGCCTGGGGAGCAGGGAGGAGCTTTTGCATAAATAAAATCCTCTTTTATTCCTAAAAAGAGAGAAAAAATTGCAGCGTTTTCTCAGTGTTGATGCAAGGCAGTGAAGGTGTCTCCGTGGGAAGTGAATTCTGGCCCAGCTGCTTTCCTCTTCCCTCCAGACTCCCTTCCTCGCACCGGCAGGGGTGCACACTCTCCTCTCTGTACCCTTCTCTCATCCCTCCTCAGGGCCTTGGCACATGCTGTTCCCCTGCCTGGAACAGCAAAACTCCTGACTCCTAATAGGGTTGGTTCCTTCCCTGCCGGCTCCATCTCCCTCTTCATGCCTCGGTTGCAGTTTTACAGGATCTTTGTGGTTTTATGGGATCACATCCCCATGCCAGACTGAAAGCAGGTGCCTGTCTTTCCGATGCACCTGTGGATTCCCAGTCTCCTGGTCAGCACTGACACGTGGCCATGTTTGGTCAGTATCTGTTGCGTGAACCAGCAAATAAGTGAATGAATGAGATCAGCCATCAAAACAACCTCCTGGTGGATCCAGCACTAAGTCTGGGTCTTTTAACTCCACGCTGTTCTGCCTGAGGTCCCATGTCCACACTTGCTCAAGTGGCCCTTCTCTCCTGCCCCATCTGTCCACCCATCTAAGGAGGCCTCATCCCCACTGCCTGGTCACCTCCAAGAAAACACCTGTGATCTGAAAGGGCAGGACATCTGTGCCACTCTAAGCCCTGGACAGACAAGATGGCCTGGTCCCGGGTATTTGGCCTCGCTCCAGCCTGGGACCATCCAACGGCTGCCCAGCAGAGCCCAGGGGGCAGGACTTACACCGCAGCTTCTCATCCAGGGTTCCCCTCGAGGTCACCGACAGCGCCTGGATGAACTCAGAGAACTCAATCCGCCCGTCCTGCAGGAGAGAGGGGTGGGGGTGGCCTCAGTCAGTGCCCAGCCACCTGGTCAGGCCACACCTTGGGTAAGCGGTGATGGGGAGTGCAGGTACCAGACACCCCTGGCCAGCGGACACCAAGCAGAGTGCATGGGAGCCAAGGGTTGAGGGACTGGGGCAGGAAGGGGACAGGGAGAGGGGATTAGAAATGGGACAAGCTGGGCAGGGAGAAGGATGAGGTCAGAGGGAGAGCCTGATTCCACATCTGGTGGGAGGAAGAGCCAGAGGACCACCAGCACACATGACCCTCTCTCCTGGCTCAGGGGCTCTAGAAGAAGGTGGGGCTCTAGACTTTTCAATCCTATTTGTTTCCCAAAAAAGGAAACTGAGGCCCGGAGAGGACAGAGCCCTTCCCAGGGCCAGGTACTGCGACTGTCAGCTGGGGGCACCTGCGGAGAAAGCCAGGGTGTGACAGAACAGAACAGTCCACGCCCAACAGCATGGAGCGTAGACACAAATTCCAGCAAGTCCACGTGAACACGAGGGAGCAGGGAAATGCCGGATGGGACAGAGTCCGGAGGACTGCAGACGCTCTAACGGTGGAAATGCCAATGGTCAGGGCAGCCGTTGCCAGAGAGGGGACATTACAACACAGATAAGCCTTATAAACTGGGAGGCTGAAATAAATTAACAAACAAACAAACAAACAAACGAACAAACTGGGAGGTTGAGATTTGCAGACATAAACTACTATATATAAAATAGACAGACAAGTTTCTACTGTAGAGCACAGGGAACTATATTCAATATCTTGTAGTAACCTGCAACGGAAAAGAATATGAAAAGGAATACACGTACGTACACGTATGACGGAACTGTCATGCTGTCCACCAGAAACTGACACAACACTGTAACTGACTATACTTCAATTTAAAAAGACAACACAGATAGGCCTTGAAAACATGGTGCTCAGTGAAAGAAGCTGGCACAAAAGATCCACGTATAACACGATTCCCAGTTTCCTCATTCTGCAAAATGCGGGTATTTAAAGGGCACCCCTTCCAGGTAGTTGGTTGTAAGGCCTCACTAAAAATAATCCACGTAAAGCGCTTAGGACATAGTAAATGTTCAATAAATGTCAATTATGACTATAAATCCTATTACTACTGGAGGCACTTGCATTTTGCATTTGTAAGAAGGTCAGGGTTTGTATATGCATGCATATGTGTAGATACGCATGTCTGTGTGCATGGTATGTGTGTGAATACATGTATCTCAGTGGATGCCTTGTGCACGTGTGAGTTTGTGCAATGTATACATGTGCACGCATCTGTGTGCAATATGAGTGCACGTGTGTTCATGTGTGCATGCATCTGTGTGCCTTTATGTGTGTCTGCACGTGGGGGTGTGCCTGCATGGGCATGCATTTGTGTGTATATGTGTGATTGTGAGTGCACATGTGTGTGTGCCTTCTCCGGAGGGCCCGTGGGTGTGGAGACGCTGCAGGTGCCCGCAGGAGCCACGCAGGCTGCTGCCGGAGGGAGGGGACTCAGGCTGGCACAGGCTCCATCCATCCCCAGCTCACCTTGTTTTCATCAAAGACGTTGAAAACAAATGTGGCGAACTTGGTGGGGTCTCCGAATGGGAAGAACTGCTTGTAGATCTTCTGGAAGCCTGCTGCATCCAGCTGCCCGCTGGGGCAGTCTTTGATGAAGCCTTTGTACCTGGAGGTAGCAGACCAGGCGAGAGAGGGTAAGAGATGCCAGCATCACCCACCTGCCAGGAGACACTGCCCAGCGCTCCAGAAGGCTGTGAGTACCTGTCCCAAGAGAGACAGTGCCACACAGGGTTGTAAGCGCAGACCTGGACACCACAGGCGTGAGCTCATCCCACTTCTGCGTCTCACTAGCTGTGTGACATGGGACAGGTAGCTACACCTCTCTGAGCCTCATCCGTACCAGGGGAATTAGAGCCGCTGTGAGAATTAACCCAAATACTGTGCATAGAGCACTTGGCCTCTCAGTTTCTGGCTCCACACAGGGAACTAAAACCAAACTCACACAAACACTCTCCCTGAAGCCTCAGTCTTGCACAAGGCACTCCCACTTCCCCCACCTTCTCCACTGAGCCCCTCCCAGCACCACAGAGCCAGGCAGGCTGGTGGCGCTGGTGGGCAGAGCCACCATATGCGGCGGCAGCTGGCTCCTCCCACAGGCTGCGCCGCCACCCCCTCACCCGGTGCGCCCACGCCCGCTCCCCTGCCTCTGTCCCAGGGAACCGTGTAGACTATGCGGAAGCAGCGCGGCAAGCTTAGAGGGCACCCCGATGGGTTCCACCTGGACTTGTCCACCCTGTATTCCCAGTGCCCAGCACAGGACCCTCCAGATACTCGGCCAGCTGATGGCATCATGGCTTCACGGTCCAAATTCCGGTTCTGCCTTTCACTAGCTGTGCAACTTCAGGCAAGTGTCTTCCCCTCTCTGAGCCTAACTCTCCTCTATAAACAGGGGCAGCTATCACAGCCATCTTGTGGGGACTGGGTGAGAGGATGATGTAGCATCCTTGGCACAGGGCTGGAAGTAAAAAATAAGCAGTGGCACGCCCTTCAGTATTATAACCTCAGTGTGTTCTTTTAAACCAGTTCACAAATTGGCTCCTGTGGGTAGTTTGGCGAATCCCACTGGGACATACATTTCTCCTCCGAGGACTCCCAGCACAAAGAAGGGTCAGAGAGATGGAACAGCTATTATCAGCTACCAGCTGTTACCCCCGCTGGACCACTCTCTGCTGGGAAATTTGCAAACCTGATTCCCCTGGAACGCCTTATGAGCAAGGTATATGATGAAGCCTATTTTAAAGATGAGGAAACTGAGGCTCCAAGAGGGGAAGATTTGCAAGCCCTCGCAGCCCAGACTGGAGCTGACGTGGGGTTTGAAGGCGGTCACTGACAAGGCCAGATGCTCAGGGACACTGGCTCACTGGACTCCCCACCCGTCCCAACGTTTTTGTTCTACCCGAAGCCCGTGTGAAGACCCCACTCTCCCCTACCACATCCAGGGAAAGTGGCTGGTGGTGCCATGACTGGGGTCCATACACAGAGGGAGCACGTGGAGAAGCCACTGTCCCCCCTCCACCCATCAGAGAACAATCTAAGGGGCCAGGGTGGGTGAAGGGACACTCAGGGCACCAGAAGGAAGGAGCCTTGGGAATTCGAAGTCAGATGTCAGAAAGGAAGCAAGACAGACCTCTTGCTAACATGTCAGCTGTTTCTTAGGGGCGAGGAGGGGTGGGGAGGAGGGCAGGAGATGGAGTGTGGGCACCCACCATCCCGACTGTGCCCACAGCAAGCATGACGTCGTAAGAGAGGCTGGGCCTCCATGCGCCTCCCCACCCTCCCCCTGGGGTACCTTGAGGGGCCAGGGGCCCAGGGAGGCAGTCTCGGCCCAGCACCCGGGGTAACTGCTTCATTTCACCACCACTTGGACTTGGACAACAGCCCCATGCCAGGCACTGGGCTAACTGGCTGGTTCCTCAAGCAATTGCCACTCAGCCCTGGGCAGTGGGTTCAGGAATCCCCATTTCACAGATGGAGGCGCTGAGGCACAGAGGGCCCCTCCCACAGCAGGTACCAAGAAGGGACTCAGCCCCAACGGGTCCCTCCACTCGAAGCCTCCTTCTTAGCTGGGTGTCCTAGGCTCAAATCTCCACACCTGGGCCAGGACAGAGCCAGGGAGGGTTGTTTTGGAGATAAGCCCTGGTCTGTGACCCCAGGCCCCTGGGCAGGACGGGTCCCTGGGCAGGAGGAGGGGGTGTGCCCAGTGCCAGGTCTCGATGACCCACGTAAGGGCACAGCCGGCTCCAGAGGTCAGGATGGGGCTGTACTTCCCTCATGTTCCCCTAGAGCTTCCCGATATCCCACAGTGGCTGTGTGTTACTTGAGTGAGTCTAAAAGATTATTAAAAAAAATTAAGGGAGAACAAAAGGTGCCCAAAGCCCTCTCCTGGCCGGGGGTCCCTGCGGGTGGCTGGCTCTCGGGAGGGGAGCTGGCGCTGCAGCAGCGGGAGCTGTCAGCGCTGGGAGCAGCTGCAGGGGGGCCCTGCAGCGTTAATGGGGGCGGGTGGGTGCAGGGAGGCTGGCCTCCGTGGGGGGCCTTCAGGGAGCCTGTCCCGTTTCCCCTGCAGATGCTGTCACTGTCACCGTGGGGCCCCAGTCCCTGGGTGCCATTAGCAGCAGCCCCATCCCCACAGGGCAAGGCCCAACTGATGAAGCCTGATGGCCCAGCCTCCTCTTGCCAACTCTCCCACCCACAACCACACTTTCTGGAGCTTACTGTGCCATCCAGCCTCCAAGGCCTTTGGACCTGCAGGTCCCCCTGCCTACAAAACACATCCTCCTCCTCTTTATCTGCCTAATCCGTTCATCCATCAGGTCCCAGCCTCCCTCCAGGAAGTCTGCCCAGATCCCCCAGGGGCTGCAACTGCCCATCTGTGCCCCCAGCCCCTTGTACATCGCCAGCACAGCATGAACCACGCAGTGTCACATTTGCCTCCAGGCTGGGTCCCCCATCCAACTGTGAACTCCCTGACACCATGGTACCCTGATGCTGGTCCAGGGCCTGACACATAACGGGGATTCAGTAAATGTCCAGTGAGCTCAGTGAATAAGCTGAATGAAGGAATGAATGAATGAATGTACACACAGAGAGGAGAGCTCAGGTGTCAGTCATATTCTTCCTGAGAGTTCCATGTGGAGGGTTAGAGAACCACAGATATACTCCTACCCTCTGTGGATTGATGAGGTACTGGGGGCCCAGAGAGGGAGAGAGACTGACACAAGGTCACACAGCAAGTTAGCAGCAGAAACAGGGCTCAGACCCGGGGCTCCTGCTTCCTAGGCTCCCACTTCGTCCACCAGGCTGCACCACCCTCAATGTTGCATAACCCAGTTGTTCATCATCAGAAGGTGGGGGGCACCCCATCTCGCTGGAGCAGAGAGGAGGTCTGAGTGGCTCCAAACACTCCAACTGCCCCAGGTCCCTTTTCAAGTCCTCTCGGCTCTGAGGCCAGGACTTCATGCCACGGTCCAATCCTGAGGTCAGCCCAGCCCCCCTGGATGGCTGAGCCGGGACACCCACATGGGGCACACCCACTCCCCACTGTGGGCACCCGAGGGAGCTGCTGCTTAATCACAGAGCTCCTGCCCGGAATTCCGTCCCAGGATGACTGGGGAACTACGTGACTGCACCCCCCACCCCCGGCCCGGGTTCAGGTTCCAACAGGCCTGGGCCTCCTCCTTCTCTTCCTGCTGCCCCTCCCTCTCTCCTTCAGACCCGATGCTGCCAGGAAACCGGCACAGAGCCTGGCCTGTGCTCCAGTCCTAGCCCGCCCCGTCTCGCTATGAGAGGGGCCTGAGCAACCCCCTTCCCTGCAACGTACCCCGGTTCCCCTGCTGGTAAAATTAGTGCTCAGACTAGACCAGGGCCTCTCCAGCCGCACCACTGACGTTTGGGGCCGGATGATTCTTGGTGATGGGGGCCCGTCCAGTGCACAGTGACATGTTTAGCAGCATCCCTGGCCTCCACCCGCTAGATGCGAGAAGCACCGCCCACCCCAAGTTATGACAACCCAAAGTGTCCCAGACAGTGCCAAACGTCCCCCTGGGCAGAACCACTCCAGCTGAGAACCACAGGCCTAGATGGTCTCTGGGGACCCTCACAGAGCGGGAGGAGGGTCTTCCACAGTGTCTGCTTCTGAATAACAGCTACCACCAGGGACCTACTGAGAGCCAGGCATGGGGCTACATGATTTCCAGGCACCATTTCACCAAACCATCCCGACGAGCCCAGAAGGCAAGGGTGATTATGCCCATTTTACAGATGGGAAAGCTGAGACCAAGGGCTGTTAAGTCCCCTCCTGGTTCAGGGCCTTCACACAGCATTTCTTTTGCCCAGATCCCACTGTGACAAGCCACCCAGGAGGGCACCCACTTCAGACAAGGGCTCCGAGTGCACAGTGGAAAGGAGTGGGGGATGGATTGCTTTATTCCTGGTATTACCATTACTCATCTCTGTGCTTACTGTCTCACTGGCTGCACTGAACATGCAGGAATTCTGTGATGAGAAAAAAAGAGTTTCATTTTTTTAAGTGTAAAGAACTGAAAAAGAAGGGCTTGGACTTTCAAATCAGACCTGGCTCCATCCCAGCACCATCCTTGCCCTGTGTGTGACCCCAGGCAGGCGGCCTCCCCTTCTGAACCCCGGTTTCCTCATCTGTAAGGTGTGAGCCAATACAGCACCTGCCTTTCAGGCCCTAGGTGATCCTCGACAGATAGCCACCAGCAAAGGACGTCCTGAACATGCGCCCTCCACTAAGCCCTCCCGCCAGGACCTCCCCCACGTACTGGAGCCAGAGGGCCCACCCAGCTGCCCTGCCCTGCCAGCTGTCCCGAGAAGGAGGGTCCAATACATCCTCTGGGGGCCCCAGCTCGGGCCCCAGGCAGTCCTTCCTAATACTGCCCTGGTACATGGGCAGGCCACCTGGGGACATGCCAAGAGCCCCGACACCCCCTCTCCCCCGAGTCACACAGCTTGGGGACTTATATGGAGACCACCCTTGACACATTCTTGTTCAAGAGCAGGGGTCTTGACTCTGTTTGAAGGTCGGAGGAGAAGCTGGGAAGCAGTCCTGGGACAGGGCACAGCCCCCGAGCCCCGCACACTCAGAGCCTCCAGCCCCGTGAGCACACGCTTCTGACATGGGTGACTGCGCTGGGGAAGCAGCTCTCCACGACAGGGCGGAGACAGGAGGAGAAGATCCTGGATTCGACTACTGCATTCTTACAGCCCTTTAAAAGGGAAAAGGAAAAGGCAGTCTGTCTTTTAAAAGACACTTTAAAAACACTGCAGACTGAACGCCACTTACGAAACACTCCCGATTAGACGCTGGGCTTCCTCCCCATTAGCTCCCCATCTTGGCTTCTGTCCCCCGCTGCGCCAGCCTGTGTCCCCCAGGGGACTTCAGCACGTCATCTGCCCCAGTCCCTGCTGCCCCTGCACCCAGCTCAGCTGGCACGTGGTGGGTGCTGAGTAAAGATTTACTGAATAAATGAACCAAACAATGAATGAATGAGTGAGGGAGGGAGGGAGTGAATGAATGAATAAGTGAATGAATGAGGGAGTGAATGAATGAACAAATGCTGGTCCTGACCCACGGATCCAATTCTAGCTCAGCTTCCTGTTCTCTGCACCCAGGGAATCCCCAACCCCACCACAGCCTCGGTTCCCCAGAGGCCCTGGCCTGCCAGGACTTTCTGGAATTCACCGCTCTCAGTTCCAGCAGCGCCTTGTCCTCTGGGACCCAGTCTGCAGCAAGCCGCACATCACCCCCATGCCCCGCTCCTTCCCTGTCGAGGGTTAAGTATGACGGTGGCTGCTCTCTGCAGTGTGGAAAGTGGGAAGAACACAGATGGATGGGTAAATGATAAAGCATACCCCCCACTGCCATCAGCCAAACGCAGCCGGGGCTGCTGCGGCGGCCTTGGCAAACTGTTCTCCCATTATCTTTTCAAACACCTCCCTTCCCATGGTGCTCCCCTCCCAGAGCTCCCATGGGGCCCTGCCTGCAGACAGTCCTGGAGGAGGGTCCCAAACACATCCATGAGGATGATGCCTCTTCCCCTCCCCGCTTCTCTCTTCTCACCCCCTAAGCTCCACTGCCTTCAGCTTTGTGGGGTTCCCAGAGCCAGAGCCAGCAGGGCTGAGCCCTAGGCCCCAGGCCATAGAAGCAAGCGAGTTGGATCCAGACTCCAGCCAGAACAGAGCTGGGTGACCCAGGTGAGTGTCTCCACCCCCTCTGAGACTCAGTTTCTTCATCTGTAAAATGGGCTGCTCCTAGACTGAGCCCATGGCACTCTTCTAAGTAGCAGCCCAGGGCCTGGCCCAGAGGGGTGCCCAGCAGACTTAAGGAGAGGCCGCCTCCTTCCTCGTGGCTGCCACTGCGGAGGACGGTCCAGGATTGACAGCTGGTCCTGTTGAGGCGGCTGCAGAATTCCCCCTGCTCCCACCCACTATTTTTGTTACAATATCATCGGGTTATTTGGTGATTATAAAAGTAATAAAAAGCCATAACAGAAAAGTTGGAAAATAGAAAATATAAGAGAAAAAAAAACCCCATAACCCACGGTGTCACCACCCCCACACTGCACACCCACCGCCAGCCTCTGGCCAGTCTCCTTCCCATCTTCTTCCCCGTTCCCCCACCCCCCCGCCGTGGAACTGTGCTGGGGACACTATTTGTGCCGCGCTGTTCCTACTCAGGATCACGTTCTCTTCGCCACCACACCTCCGTTCCCTCCGTAAAGGCCTGGGACCTGCTATAGTGTCCCTGGAGGCTCCCACCACAGTTCCTGACCTTCCATTGTGATGACTGGAGCTCAGAGTAGGAAATGAGACAGTCAAGAGCAAGGGATCTGGTGGTGGGGGGGTGGCTTCAGGCAGCTGCAGATCTGACACTGGCCCCGCCTCCCTAAGCCCCCAGCCTCCTCCTCCACCTGTCTGGGCTTCCGTTTCCCCATCTACATAACAAGGAGGAGGGCCTGCAATCTCAGGATCGCTCCCTAGTTGTCCTGATGAGGACATCAGTATTATTAGCCATATCAGCATTATTAACACCACTGACAGAGAGATTACTAGGCTCTGTTCCAAACGCTGATTATGAATTAGCTCATATGGTCTTCACTATATTCCTATAAAAGGTTGACAATTATTCCCCTCACTTCTCAGGTGATGGGGAAACTGAGGCATCAAGCAGTCCAGTAACTCATCCAAAGCTGCTCCGCCAGTTTACCAGTCCAAGCCCTGGTCCTGGAGCCCCTCTGGCCACTTTGCCTCCAGTGTCTCCCAGGAAAGGCCCAGGTGTGAACTCGGGAGGACACCAGAGCTCAGGTGTGCCCTGCACCTCCTGGGAGTCAGGGGCCTCGTCTAGGGAACACAGTGATGGGACATTCCTCTGGGTGACTGTGAGGACCAAACGAACACGCCCATGTCTGAGGGTGCGCCTGGCACACGGTGGTGCTGGGGAGGCGCCCACCACCTCTCAGGGACAGACCTGGTCCTCATCCCTGCTCTGCCCTTCTCTGGGCCTCAGCTTCGTTTTCTTGTTGCCATGGAGATGATAAATCATGTCAACCCCCAGGACAGCGCCCAGGAGCCAATGACAACGTATATGTGAATCACTTAGGGGTGTATGTTGGGGGCCAAGCACCTGCTATGGCCAGGCCCTGGGGACACAGGGGTGAATAGGGCAGAGCCGGCCCTCAAGACCAGGAGGGGAGGCAGAGAGGGACGCAGATGTGTAACTGCTGTTTGTCCCAGGTGTGTCTCAGGCTGTGACACTGGGTTGTGGGAGGTCAGAGGAGGCCCCTAACCTAACCTTGGGGATTGGGGAGTTTTCAGGGAAGGAGGCCTGAGGGTGAGGAGGTGGTGGCCAAGCAAAGGGGAGGAGGGGTGTTCCCAGCAGGGGGAACAGCCCAGGCAAAGGTCAGGAAGCCCCAGAGAGTAAGGTAAGTTCAGGAATAAGATAGTAATTCAGGCAGGCCAGAGGGCGGAGGGCAGAGGGCAGAGGGAAATGGCAGTGAGACTGGAGGGGTCAGGACAGCAAGTTGGGACAGCCGGGCCTGGTAACCACGTAACCATGCCAAGGCGCAGACTTCACCTGAGGTCCAGGGAGAGTTTAGGCAGAAGCCTGACATTGTCAGGTATTTGGTCAACAAAGACCTCTCTGGCTATCACGTGGGAAGGAGAGAGACCACGTACAGATGGGGAATCCAGGAAGGCTTCCTGGAGGAAGTGACTCGGGTGAGCCTTGGTCGGGTGGAGCTCAGATGGCCCAGGAAGGAAGGGTGGGGCTTTCCAGGAGGGAAGAGTGAGTGACAAAGGCTCAGGAAAGTGGGGTGAGGCACTCAAGGAGGGAGAGCCTCAGGGATAAAGACCTGGGAGCAGGAATATTTCTGGAACGCTCACCTGGGGAAGCGGAAAAGTAGAAGATGAGGTCAGAGGCAGGCCAGGCCCACATGCTGGGTCCTAGGCTGCGGGGGAGGAAGAAGGCGCAACAGCTGCTCCCTCCACATCCACTCCTCCTGCCGGGCAGCCAGCTCACCACCCAGGTTCTGCCTACCTGGCCAGGATCCCAAGCAAGGGGTCAGCGAAGCTGGGCAGGGCAGCCACAGCTCTCCTCCTCTGCAGCCCAGAGTCAAGGACATGGAGGCGTAGGGAGTGGCCCCTGGGGGAGCCTGGCCCTGCCCCTAGCAAAGCTCCCAGAGCAGTCTCATGGCCCGGGCCCTCGCAGTGGCCCACCACGGCCTGGCTGTGCTGGAGGGCACATCTGCAGGTTTCAGTTCCCCAGGTGAACAGTGGGCGGAAGACCGCTGTCAATGGCTGTCATCTCTTGGGCCCTGAGCTGTGACCTTTACAGGGAATGTCACCTCATGATTCCTTGTCATACCCATGGGGGAATCGGAGGCTCAGAGGGGTTAGATCACTTGAGAAACAGGAAGATAGGAAGAGGCAACAAAGCTAGGACTCTGGGGCCCATTTCTAAGCCTTCAGACTTCACTGGAAGGTCTCCAAGCCTGCCTCCTCACTCACCTAACCACTCCCAGCTCAGGTTCGCCTTATAGTGTGAGTCTCCCATCTGCTCCACATTCCACAATGACAGACAACACACCACTCTCCTCTCCCAGGCCCGAGCAGGCACCACTAATCCATTACAGACCTCATTAATCCCTCACTGCTTTGCTTCCGTTTGCTCCATGACATACAGACTCAGAATCCTTCTTAACACAGCATTCCAGGCAGCTACTATGGAGTGATTAGAGCTGGCATCCAAGAAGAAACCTATCTGGCATCCTTGATCCACTCTAATCAATCACTTAGGTGGGGTGGCTGAACCCCAGGGAGGGGAAGAGACATATTAAGGCCACAGAATGATTTAGGCAAATAGTCGGGCCTGGGACCCAGTCTCCTGACTCGTTTCCTGATCCAAACTCCTTCTTTGGGTGAGCAGGGCCTGGAGTTAATACTTCAGGGCCTGGGGGTCCTCAGAGGTGATACACAAGGCAAGGAGTCCAGCATCCGACCCTACCATCTACCCCACTTCAAATGGATCTACGTCAGTCCCTTACGAACAAAGGAATCTGAATAAAGTTTCCCTAGACTGGTTGGTGAATAAGACACTCTCAGAGGGCCCTCCAGGTGCCCCTGTCCTGGGCAGCTGGACTTCTGCCCCACCAGCACCAAGCCAACACCTCCACCCCAACCCCAACAGTCTGGAGAAACGTAGCTACTCACCACTGTTGGACTTCCTTCTCGGTAACTGCAAGAGAAAACAGAAAAGTAGCCTTTTAGCTCAGGGAGGTGTTTCAGGGGTCAGACAGACGCTGGGGTGCCTCCTTCCTGCCTTCCCCACCCCAGGCGACACCCATGTCTGGACCCCAAAGCCAGCTCTGAACAAGACGTCCCCTCCCACTCCATGAATTATCCTAGTCAGGAGCTCCGTGTCCAGTCCCCCCAGGGGACAACACTGGTCCATCCCCTCCAGATGCCCACTGCACTGCTGGGAGGATGGCTGAGATCAGCCTCTTGCAGGCAGGGGATGGCTGCTCCCTCCACCCTGAGGTGGGCAGGCAGGACTGTTGTGCCAAGGCCAGCACTGAAGATAATTCTTTCCCATCACTCATGCCTGGGTACAGGACGACCAGAGAAGGCGCTGGCTTCCCCAGGCCCTCAGCTGCCCTGCCTGCATGACGGGGTCCAGGGCAGAAAGGCAGAGCCCCTTCCGCAGCCCCGGCGGCAACCAGCACCGTCCCCTCCTCCACCCCTCCCTCCAGCCCCTCCAGCGCTCAGTCTTGGGCTCTTTTACAGGCAAGACAAGAACGGAGCCTTGAACCAAAAGCTGGAACAAGCCATATAAAGTAGCTGAACCTCCGGCCAAGCCCAAATAGTCATTCTTTACTGAACCATGAAAGAAACAAAGTGTTTTTTTTTTTTCTGAAAAGTACTGAATCAGTTCAGGTTGGAACAAAACCAGCTAATTTCTTTAAAATCACTGAACAAGAACATCTAAGCATCCCTAAGGCCTCACTCATGCTCGGTGGTGGAGGGAGGTGACCTTGAGAGAGCGCCTTCAGCTCCCCGTGCCTCAGTTTCCCCGTTTGTAAAGTGAGAACAACAGTAACAGTACGTGCCACACAAGCCGCCCCAGGGATCCGGTCAGAGCAGATGTGAGAGCCCCCAGTCCCCAGCACGGGGCCTGGCACTCAAATGTGCTCAAGACAGGCCTGTGGAATGAATGAAGGAATGAACGAACGAACCAGCGAATGGACAGGAAGCTGGACGTTGGGTGCAGGTTGGGTGAGTAAAGGAACTGTGGAGGGAGGCCCAGGGCCATTTGTGCCTGATCAGACTTGAGGAGGCCACTGTTCAAAACTGTTTAAGGCAAGCTCATAACAGCTGCCAAGTCCTGAGTGCCCACTGCGAGCCTGGGGCTGTGCCAGGGTCAGCGCCCTGACAACAGCTCCCAGGGAAGACAGCATTACTCTGCTCTGGCCCCACATGGGGAAACTGAGGCACAAAGGGGGCAGGACGTGAAGTGGGAGAGTGAAGGTCTGAACTCAGGTCTGAGGCTCGGCCCCCTGGCCCCCAGCCCAGACCCTGGGACAGGCTGCAAGCCTCCACCAGGTCCCTCCTCGTCGGCCCTCTCCTCCCACAAGCTCAATCAGAGGCTGAGGAAGAGACCCGTCCACAGCAGGATGCTGATAAAAAGAGAGGTGTCGGTTACTGGAACAGCCAGACCTGGTGTAAAAGAATGCAATTTGCCAAGAGGGTTTTTAGCGAGTGGGAAGGGGGTCAGGTGTGAGGGTGGAGAGGGAAGGTGTCTCTGGTCTAACCCAGGCTGGGCTGCCCTATACCTGCCACCCATATCTGGTAGTGAAGGGCAGCAGGGGCCCAGGGGTCGATGCTTAAAGATCCAACCTGGAGACACAGGAGACCCAGCACTGCACAGCTGGGAGGGTAGGGGCTCGTACTCTGGAGCCAGATTGGACGGCCTGAGTGTAAACCTAGCCCCATAGCTTACCAGCTAGCTGTGTGTCCCTGAGCAAAGTACTTCCCCTCTCTGAGCCTCAGTTTCCTCATATGACAAATGGGCTCACTGTGAAGATTAAAGTGCTTGGCACTCTTCACGGGCATAAGAATCCCATAGGTGGGTGTGATCCCATTTTCCCAATGAAGAGACTGAGACTCAGGCACTCAGGCAGGTCTGCTTACTTGCCTGAAGTCACCCAAGGCAACTGGGCGGGGCCAGGACTGTGTCTCCAGAGCCCAGGATGGATGCCCAAGTGGATGCCCCCACCCTGCCCACCTCGAGTCAGCTATGAGCTGTGTGACCTTGTACGACCTTGGCATCACATGATACAAACAGCGGGAGCCGAGTGGCGAGGGCTCTGCTGGCAGGTCCACTGCTGACCTTAGCGAAGGTCCACTGGGTCAGAGAAGGCTTCCCTGGAATCCCCCAGCTGAGAAGCCCCAACTGTCTCCTGACCACCCACCCCCCGGCCCCCCAGCAGCGTTCCCCCAGGACCTCTCAGCCTCCAGCCTCCCCTGTGCCCCTCACCACCCCCTGCACCCAACAAGCCCCCAGGATGCCCCGTCCCTGATTGAAATGGCACCAACATAGAACACTGGGTAGTCAGCAGGCGCCCAAGCCCCAGCGGCTTTGTGCTGGGGAGCCAGAGACAAGCCCTGCCCCGAGCTCTAAGCAGCTAATTAACCTTTAGGAAACAGGTGTCCCCTGGCACTCTGCCAGGCCCGGCAGCTGTCACTGCTTCACTGCCTGGAGCCTTGGAGGGTCTTGGAGTGGGATGGGCAGCAGGCAGCTCTCGGGGGGGCCTGGCTACCTGCCCCCAGCCCCTCCACGAAGGTCAGACACGCCTGCATCCAAATCCCAGCCCCCCAAGTCTAAGCATGGGGACATAAGCAGACAAATCCAGAATGTGGGACGTTCTACAAGACAATCGGCCAGGATACTTTAATCACTCAGTGCACGAAAGGTGAAAACAAGGCAGGGGATTGTTCCAGAAAAAGAGACTAAAGAGACATCAAATAAATGCAACTTGCAATGCCTGGAATGGGTCCTGGATCCGGAGTTAAAACCAGCTACCCTGGGGATGACGGATATAATGGGGCCGGTGGGGGCAGCTGCCCACGGGAGGGCAGTTAGACGCCCTGATGGACTCACTGGCCTTCTTCTTAGGAGTGGCAACGGTGCGGAGGTTATGTGAAAGAATGTCCTTCTTCCCTGGGATGTGCCCTGAAGTATTTAGGGGCGAGGGTCAGACGCCTACAGCTTCTTATGAGAGGTTCAGAAATACACACACACATATTTAGAAAGAGAGAGGAAGCAAAAGTGGCAAAATGCTGACAGCCGGCGAAGCTAATGGCGGACACACAGGTGCTCAGGGCGCTGTGATCTCAGTGTCGCACTGGATCTTTCAAAATAAAAAGTTGGGGGGGAAATGTTTGTCCTCATCAGCCCACAACCTGTGTGCCCCCCTCACAGCACCGGAAAGGCCGAGGGTCCTGCCCAGGGACCTGCCCTCCAGCAGCTCTGACCACCACAGGCACTAGGAGCGAGGAGGGGCTGGGGGACAGTATTATGGGGTCCCTCTGCCTCTGCCCTCCACCCAGATGCCAAAGGACATTCCCAGGCTCAGGCTCTCAGGCTTGGGCCCATCCCCCCACCTCCCGGAGACTCTGTCCAAGTGTGATATTAACAGGCGTCCACCCACACCGCGCTCGGTGGGTCCATGATCAGGGCTCAGGGCTCAGGCCTGAAACGAATGAAGGTCATCCTCAGTGCTACCAGCCCCCAGC